TGCATACTGCATGTAAATATTTTCAAGAAATACATGTAATGGAATTTAATATTCTGTAACGAAAGTTCTGATAAACCATGAATAAATACCTGTTACTGCTCTTCTGCCTAATTTTCGTGATATGTTTTTAAGTGCTACTTTAGAAAAGTAAGTTCTTTAGGCGTTTTAAATTTATTTTATCCTGTTGTGCCTCTCATTTTGTCTCTTTCTTTAGGCAACTTTCAGTTCTGTTTCTCTTTTGCTCCTTTCGTTGTACTTGTTTCAGACTTTTGTGATTTGCAGATAACGCGGGGACACATGATGAGACAGAGAAATAAAGAAAGCAAAACAGTACACGGAAGTATAAGACAACGGAAGGAATAACAAAAATTGAAAACAAGACAAGAATCTACACGACAAGACAAAGGAAGGAAAGAAAAGACAAAGCAATACGAAACAGGACTTTGAAACAGACGAGACAAATCGATTGATAATCCCATCGAATACGTACATTAGGTAGCTGGATAGGTGGATAACTAGTGGTGGACAAGCAAACAGATAAGACGGACACGAAGGCAGATGGTGTGATGGAAGGCTGGATGGATAGATGAACAGTCAGACATGTTAGCAGACAGACAGACACAACATCGCGAGATTAATTGAACACAGTGAGGTTACAATGTGAATGCTGTAAAGAGTAGTTCAGGACCACACTTGCAATTTCCTCCTCAGTAACACCTGCTACTGCGCAGGTGCAAGTGTGGGTGAGTTTAGTTTTATAGTGCACCGACGTGATGCATTTGTTCATATGCAAAGTGGAAACGCGACGCGGGATTTGTAAGCAAACTTCGTGCGTCCGCGTGCCTGAGGCAAGTCTGAAACAAATACACGTGTTCTTTGTGCAGTGCACTGGAACAGTGGCGGTTCTAGGAATGTTAACCCTTGTGCCTAAGCAGCGTGATACGAAGGGTAGAGTTATAAACACCGCGCATTGCATCTGAACACTGAATGTCAACAACGAGAGTAGAGCCAACTCCCGAAACGTTAACATCTTCCGACAAGTTCACATGACGTAATAACACGGAAGACCAAAGTATAAATCAATCCATGACTATTCTAGAACTTACTGACTGACACTTCACAAATCATTGTCTTTTAATTATATGCTGGGCGTTTGGCTGCACGACAGGCAATAAAAAAAATAAAATCGCTACGCAGTGCGCATGCCAGATTATATAACATTTAATATTATTGAAAAACATTTTGCGTCAAGATAAAATAGTATTAGCAGCTTTTTAAAAAAACACATGAAGATGCAGAGACATTTGTTTAATTTAATGGCAAGACAAAATAGTATTAGCAGCTTTTTAAAAAACCCATGAAGATGCAGACACATTTGTTTAATTTAATGGCAAGAGCGTTAATTAGTCTCAGTAATGCTCAGTAAGCATTAATGCCTTTATTAATAAATGGCAAGATGGAAACCCAACCAAGAAAGGCAGTAGGCAGTCATAAATCCATTGTGTAACAGTAAAATCCCTGTGTGATACTGCATTAATATATGTCATGGTACGAACAGCAACCCCTCCCACCGTCTGCTTCCTCTCCTCTCTCGCGCAGACCAGCGGCTAACATAAAATAACAGGACAGTACGTGGTACACAACAGAAAGATAACAACAAATGATGACACTTTATAATACAAAATACTAGTTTTCGACTTTGAGCAACCCAGTTTATATGTACATATTTACACAACTTTGAGCAACCCAGTTTATATGTACACCTTTTTCCACCCCTCACCTTGAAATAGCATGGACGAAAGAAACTTCGCGGTTCACTGTCATTCTCGCTTCACATGGCGAGGTCTTAGCATCGATTATACGTATTATGTAAGGGTGGCTCTTCAGCGTTGTTTTCGTAGTTATTTTAAGTTTCTCTAGGTAAATGCTGGGATAACGTTTAAAATAGCCCACGACCGCTTCCTTCTTCGCCCTCGCATATTCATAATTTACAGTGATACTGTGCAGATGAAGAAGAGTTATATAGGAAAAAGGTCCATGAAAGTAAAGAATTCGAATTCCTTAACCAGCGTCTGCTACGTGACAAGTAAATTTCGTAGTAGCGAGATGTGCTACGCCACTGACTACAACATCGTGAGTCTAAGAGAAGCGACCGGGCCCTGACTGTCGAGGAAACTCGTCACAGACATGCAAACATTTATCAAGAAATCTTACCTTACATAAATAAAAGTACTTCAGGTCAACAACACCAACTGACCCGCTCTTGTCACATACGGAACATCGAACAAAGAATTACCCGGTACTTAGGCTTACACACAATCATAGTCGTTGTTGATATTGATCTGTGATCGCGGCTTAGAATGACAGTAACACCTGAAAATCAATATCTGAAGTCAAGTCAGGAAAATTTTATGAACTGCAAGTAATTACGAAGACAGTAATTATGCCCAATTGGTTTAAGGTCGACTAGCTGCAATTATCAATCCCGACTGCCATCACACTAAACAAGTAAAACGAAAGTTTTGCTGTGACTTAGAATGCTTGATTTAGGTAAAGACATTACTTACACACCGGGCCCTGTCTTGTGGAATTAGACAGTAGCAGTTCCAGCACCATAGATATAAACAATTGTAGTCTTCGAAATCTAGGTTTTTATTAAAAAGGACGTAGCGTTTTCTCGACAAGAGATATGGCTGTTATAACACCATGACTCTGGCAACAGCATTTTGTTCGTGAAGACCAAGGTACCTTACGTTATTGTGAAGTTGACTTTTTGACATTACATTTCTTCAACCTTAATTTGTTATCCACAGAATCTTACATGAAACAAGTTCACAAAAACTTAGGTGCATCAGAAACTAGTGCATTAGCTATTTTTTAACCTACTGGTAATACCATTGTAAACTCCTATTATTAAAAAATTAATTAAGTGAAGGGATTTTGGTAAAGTTTAATAAAATATAATTACGTGCAATTTTTATAAAAAAGTCACAGTAAATATTGTTCTTCAGAAGCTGACAGTTTCTCAACTGGTCAACAAATTGCCCGTCCTTTATAGAACTCATTGGTTCATTATCATGTTCAGGAAATCCCACCTTCGAAGCAGTTTAATCCAGTCGATAACTTTACACCCTTTCTCTCCAAGATACATTTTAATATTATCCTTTCGTTACGTCTCCTCCCAAATGTTTCTTCCCTTCATGTTTTATGTTTAAAATACGACACATTTCACTGTCATGCGTGCAACATATCTCGCTGATCTCAACCTCAATGGGTTCCTGTCCATGTAATATCCTTCGTCCTGTGTCTCAGGTCCAATCTCATTTATGATAATTATGAATCTGATTCGTAACAGTAGATAATTTATTGATCGGCTAAATGATTATAAACTTCTTCTAGAAGATGTTGTATCACGGCGGTATTTGATTACGAGAGAGTAAACACAGATACTAGTTTCGCCTGCGACATGTAACTCCGTAGCGGTGAATGACGTTCTGGAATTCCCGTTTTGTATTTAATGTGGTTTACGCCTTCAAGGACTTCATGTCACGCCTTGCTGTAAAGTATCTCCCCTCCCCGTCCACTTTCACACTGAAAATATTAATGAATTGCTTCAACTTATCACACAAACAATTCGCAAGATACAAAACAAGGACATACCTCTGGAAATCGGCCATCACCATGGGTTTTCCAAAAAACAGAAGTCATTATGGCACGAGAAGAAATCAATTATGACGCTCCTACATATAAACACAGCAATTGGTTTACTGCAGGCCTACCAAACACACGATGACGGACAATGACAAGAACATTATAAATTGATGCGGCCTGTCAAATTTGTTTTGAAACCATAATATCTCCAATACTACTGTGCAATAACTATAAGTACATTTGCAACAAGCGTAGATTTAAATTTACAAACTCGAACATGGTGTATTGGCACAATAAACCTGGCATTGGATAAACTAACTCATAATAAAATCTGATTTCCATATACAAACCCAATCCGTCACGTTGATATTACTGATTGTTTTAAATTAGGTAGTAAAATTTTTGAGTAGCTTCTAATGGCATACCGTCCATACCAAATTTCATGAAAATCTCTCCAGCCGTTCTCGTATTATATGGGCCATATTTCATGCTTTCGTAAAGGATTATGGGAAATGGCGTCATTACGTATTATCATTCTCCCACCCAATGATTTTGAATAACCGTCATGTTGGTAGTACCAATTGTAACAAATCAGAAAGTATGAGATTTGAGTAGCCTGCAATTGCATAATGTCCATACAAAATTTCGTAAACATCTGTCAAGCCATTCTCGAATTATCACATGCGTATGGGCGATAATGTCATCACGTGAAGTCTTACCCATATTCCTAATTACTGTGCAGTCAGTTAAGTTACCACTAAATCAGCTCGTAGGCTTCTTACTGAATCATTCATTACTGACAGATGATGAGGCCACTTGCTTGGGAACAAATTATTAACAAGGACGAATTCAGGGTGTGTTCCAATTCGCTGCCAGTAAAACATGTCTGTATGCTTTTTGCATCATTAATAACGTACTGTATAAGTGTCAGTAACGTTATAATACCCCTCGCCACATTTGCAAAGTTGAACAGACTTTTAGGTTTGTTTCTGAGGAAAACATTTGAACGTATGAAACAGAAGAACTTCATAATATGTAGTTTTCATTAAATATTACAATAGGGAACAGATGAAGGGCGTACGATACTCGGAACATGTTAATACGCATGGACTAACAAAGTAACTAACTAAACTATTAAACTTAACTAATTAAAAGTCTAACAATAATTAACTACTTTAGTCGCTCTGAGGTATATTTGCTACACACGACGATTTGAAATTTGACTAGGCAACAAAATGGTTCTTAAACACTTTAATAAAATAGCAGTAATTTAAAAATCCAGCTTCAATTCTTGAAAACTGTAAACAAAATATCTGTATATATAATTTAAAACAAATTGCCTAATCAATTATATTTCTGGAAACTAATTTATAGAATTTGAATAGAAGCCGCAAGACAAAATAACATTTTTTACGGCGACGATAAATGAGACCTGTCAACGTGCGTGATGGATTCGCGTAATTATTTGGAGGGCCTGGATACTTAGTTACATCACAGCTCTGATGATGGGGGCAGAGACAGTGATTCGTAACCAAGTGACATGGATCATAGCTAGACGAGATTCTTTAAATAGACTTGCTTATGTATTTTACAAAAGCTGAAAAGTAATTTTAACCAACACTGTGATGGGATAACCCCTACGTTCAGAACCTGAAGGAACATGGCACTTAAGAATCGTAGTCACACATGAGAAACATCTAGAAATATATTTGTGATGGTGTATACTTGATTAAAATTGGCTCAGGATATGGTTCAGGGGTGGGTCTCTGATCTTCCTGTTCTGTACATGAATTTTTTGTCCAGCTGAGAAACTATCACAGCTTATAAAAAAGTCAGTAATAAAATATGTAGATAAACTTATACTTTCAAAGTCCAAGATTTTGCTCAACACATCTCATATTCAGAAAGCGTCTCAACACCGAAGACCAATAAAAAGAAAATGGCGTCTCCCACAGAAGAAAACAAACATAAACCAACAATTAAAGACAGCGTGAAATCAATCACACGGCACATCAACGCCAAACGGCCACAAGGGAAAATAATTCGCATTTAAAACCAAGGTGAAGTCAAGTGTTGAATGACAAGTTGATACGGTAAATCGGAATTTAAGGACGTCAGAGGCTGAGGCGTGCTTCCCTTCATCACAGAAACAGACGCTTTTGGAGTAACAACTGCCTATCGAGCTGACTGAGTAGCCTTTCACTAACCAATCGTCAAATCAACACCACGTACCAACCTACAAAGTATACTGACTGACCTCCCCAGTAAAATTCACCAACTGAAGCACGCATTTACACAACAAACTGCCTCTTTATCTGCGTAATTAATTATGGGCTTAGTAACCTGTCTACCATGAATAATCAAATTTATAGTTGTATGATTTGAGGTTTTCACAGCGGTGAGTAAGAAGATTTCATCGATTCATCGTCATGATGACGGAGGTAGTACGACCTCTGAAACGTTGGTAAACATCTACCAGACTACACAGCGCAACAACCTAGAAGACAGAAATCTTCATACTCATCGCCCTGATGACGGAGGCAGTATG